TCCAATAAAAAAAAGACCATCTGCGTTAGCTTTCCCCTCTGTAACAAATACCTAGCTGGGCAGGGTGGTCACTTCTGTAATCCTAGCACTTCAGGAGGCTGAGGCAAGAGGACTGAAAATTCAGTCCCCGACTGTGCAACTCAGTGAGACCGTCTCAAAAACAAAAAGGCCAGGACAACATTTAGCGCAAAGGTCCTGGGTTCAATCCTCCATGACACACGTATGTGCAATACCAAACAAACAAAATACCTCCGATAACTGACTTTATGCTGGGCCACGCAGGCTCTGAAACCCCACATGCCTGCCCCACACACAGGTGCTCAGCACGAAGCCACCTGCTAGGGCGTATCTGACCAGCAGGGAAAGGGCCTGTTCTCTGGCCAAGCTCACAGCCAGCCTCCACGTCTACAGAGGTCAGGTTCACACATAGTCACCAGCTAAAGTCTCCAGCTACCTTTATGAATTACTCTAAACTTAATGTAAAAAAATCTATGTCCACCTAAAGAACAGTTGTAAATCTTTTATTAGTATTTTTTTTTAACTTTATGAGCACAAATGGGATAGAAACAATGCTTTCAGATCAAGCAGGTCTAGAAGGTACCACATGATCAACACTGAAATCCTTCCCATGGCAGGCACCTGGCAAATATAGCACTGGCATCTACTTTCACTGGCTTGAAACCCATTTCTCATACACAGCTTCACAAACCAATTACCACCCAGTTTAACTGCTGTGTAATTAATCCTTTCAAATCTACAAACACTGTTTAAATTGTATTATTTAATGGAGGTCGGGTTTTGTTGTTTTTTAGGGTTTTTTTGGTACCAGGGATTAAACTCATGACCTCGCGCCTGCCAGGCAGGTGCTCACAACTTTAGCTAAATCCCTGGCCCTTTAATGGAGGTTTTATTCTTTATTTGAGTTGTTCTATTTTTCTACAACTTCTTATATATCTCCAGGCTTAATCTCCTATTTAGCTTCTTTCTTATACCCTTATACCCAGGTGTAAGATTAAAAACAAACTTTCAGAGCCCAGCTGTGACTCTCAGAAATTCACTTAACTACATTAGAGATCAAGGTTTCCTACACAGCTTCTCAACACTGTTCTTGTCACACATAAAATAACATCCCCAAAACCAGATCCGTGATAAAATCAGTTTAAGGAACGGCAAAGTCTACAACTACAGCTTAAGAAATATAATGCATGAAATATCTTTTTTATATTGACAATTATTAAAGAACTAAGGATAAGAAAACAAAAATGCAAGCCAGGCATGGTGGTGCACACGTGTAATCCAAGCGCTCAGGAGGCTGAGGCAGGCGAATTGTGGCAAGTTCAAGACCAGCCTGAGCTACAAAGTGAGCCCAAGGCCAGCCTGAACTGCATAGCAAGACCCTGTCTCAAAAAGACAAAAAAAAAAAAAAGAAAAATTAACAAATTGTCCCAGGAAACAGACAGTGCAAAATCAACTTTAACAAGCAGCTAAAAAAATTTTAAATTAAATTTAAAAGCAGCTAAAATCTAAAAAGCTTTATGTCCCATATTTTACAAGAAAAGTTTACAAATTCAGAGTATTACAATGTAAGATGTCAAAAAATGCACACTGAGCTGGGCATGAAGGTACCCCCACACCTGTAATCCCAGCACTCAGAGGCTGAGGCCGGGGAATTGAAAGCTCAAGCCCAGTCTGGGCAACTCACTGAGACTCTGTCTCAAAATAAAAAGCGTTAAAAGAGCTGAAGAGAGCAACAAGCCCTCCTTCCTGGTAAGCAGTGGCAGCGAGCACACAGCAGGTGCAGCGGCAAGTGCTCCAGGGAGAGAACAAGTCAGCGTCCCCCATGAGCCTCGGGGGAGGCTGAGAAGGAAACGTCCAGCCCCCACCCCCAGCACCCGGATAGTTCCGAGGTCAGCCTGAGTTGATAGCATCTCAGGTACTAAATGCTTGTACTGGTGGGTTGATTATGCATCTCCTGGGAGGATGACCCTTTGCAACACAGCAAATATGGGGGATTTCCTTCTATCTTCTGTTTGAAGGCAAATATTATTTTCACTGTTTTGCTTTGTTCTGATTAACTGTTTTGCTCTATTCAATATTCTGTTTTGATAGGTTTTATACTGCTCTGTTTTTGGTTTGATTTTGCTATACCTGACTGACTGGACAACTATTGTGAAGATAACAAGATATACCATGGTACCTAGTACTGTTATCCCGGTATCCTGCTCTAAAGTTCTGTACCAATTTCACTGCACTGTCTCAATTGTTCTGTCTTGTTTTGTTGTATTTTGCTATCTTCAAAAAAAAAAAAATTTAAAAAAGGGCTGAAGATGCAGCTCAGTGTGCAGGTCCTGGGTTCAAGTCCTAGTACCACGGGAGCAGGGGGATGGGGCAGGGGACAGCTGAAACCTTCACCCCAGATAATTCCACCTCCTGACTGCAAGGTGAAAGGCTGGGAAAGCTGTGATTCAAGGGTTCAAACAGTTGCCCAGTCACAGAGATACACACATTGCATATGTAGCTTAGGCAAGAGGGGAAAACCCCAGGGGGCTGCTGCAGTTAAAATCAAAGTGCTATCAGGAGCAGGCGCTCTAAACATGGGAGACATAACACTGGCATTCAGGAAATGTTTCCTTTGAGAAATATAGTATCAAGGGCACTTAACAGTGAAACAGCACCTTTAAAGGGATGCTACATCCTTCTGTGGCGCAGGCCTCTGTGTGCTACATTTCATGATCACATAAGCTATCCTGAAGAATCTCTGGAATCAGAATTTAACTGGGGGTGAGAAGGAGAAATTAACACCACTGGTTACAATGGGAACCAGATAAAGGTTCCCACTGTAACCCCAGAGTTTCCAAAGAGCACTCCAAGGCACCAAGGGTACTGCAAGCAAATACACTGGCGAGCCCTGGAGGTGACTTAAGTGTGACAGAAGCAGCTCTCAAAAACTGTCAGCCACTGTGCCCACAAGGAGTTCAGGTCTAACACTGGATGGTACTTTTCCTCGAATTTACTGCTTTGTCAAACTGCCTTCTGTGACAGCAGGACACAGACAGAAGCGAGGGACGGAGAAGACAGGCAGAGAGAAAGAAACACCATATAGTTTACCTACAACAAAAAATAAGGGTAGTGACGGCGAGTGCAACGCAATGGGCAAGATGTGAGAGTTTGCAGAGGACCTCACAAGCACATGCGGTAGCTGTAGTTACACAGAGTAAAATATGCTGTTTTCTTTCATACTTTACAGCCCTCCTCTGGTACCCTGGGGGTTTGGATACAGGAACTCTGGGGACTGCAGACCGCACAGGACCCACACACATCGTCCTGTAGCCAGGATGCCCCCCTTGGGTTACTCACAGCCTCTGACACTGTGCCAGTGCCCGTCAGCAATACCTATGCTGTCCGGTTCCGGAATGCGCGTGTTGAGGGGCACGCAGGTGGCAAAGGCCTTGACAGCTGGCAGACGTGAACCGTGACTTCGTAGACAAGAGGGCAAAGTTCCAATTACATAAAACCTTATAACAGGGGCTGGAGGTTTAGCTCAGCGGCATAAGCGCCTGCCTTGCAAGCAGGCAGTCGTGAGTTTGATCCCCGGTACTGATAAAAAGGAAAAAGACCAAAGTGAGTTTGATCCCCGGTACTGATAAAAAGGAAAAAGACCAAAAAAAAAAAAAAAAAAAAAAAACCATGGGGGCTGGGGATTTAGCTCAGCAGCATAAGCGCCTGCCTTGAAAGCAGGCAGTCGTGAGTTCCATCCCTGGTACCGATAAAAAGGAAAAAGACAAAAAAAAAAAAAAAACTTGTAACGGAGACGCTTCACTTGTAAATGCTGGAAATGATGTGCAGCTTCATCTCAATCCATAACAACAGCAGCTCTCAAATTTCAGTGCTTCTGAGTTTAACATTTATTTTATGGAGCTTCACTGTACCATGGTATCAGCTCAAATACTAAGTCCAAGTGGGTTTTACCAGTATTTCTGCTTTCAACCACCTTTCATCCAACAGTTTCAAACTGAAATAACTTTAAAAAATTCAAGATGATCAGCCTGAAGAATTTCACTCAAATATCCACAGCCCCACTAGCTACCACATGGCAGGAGCTCTACAAACACTGCTTCCTTTCTCTAAGCATAAGGACCATTCAGGACACAGTATGCGCACACACCTTTACATGTATGGGCAGAAAATACCTTCAGAAGAATCCAGAGACATATCACCATGTCACTCCGGGGAGGGATGGTGTACGGCTGAGGTGACAGGGTACAGCGTAGACTTACACTTCTCACCCTGAGAGGCCACAAGCATTCATTGTTTCAAAAAATAAACTCAACACTAAGTGCGCTTAACAAAAATTATTTGCATCTCACCCAGACCTCCAATAAAGAGATGGGTAGATGCACTGATAATCCAGTAAACAGGAAGAATATGACGTTCAAATCTTAGTGCTCTGCCCGGAACACAGCTGTACACCTTAAGAGCCTCAATTTCTCTGTATTACTTATATTCATGCAAAAGTGTAAAAGTATCAAATAAACACATCCCCCAAATAAAGAGTCTAGCAGCCAGAGAGGAAAGAGCTTTACTCTTTTTCTTTCCTTAATTCTCTGTTTGAAAAGACCTTCAGAAAACCATGATGACATTTTTAAAATCCCATAAACTCAAAAAGGCCAACAAGACGCCTGGGAAAAAATACTGGTACTAAACATGACAACTAACTTATAAAATTATTTTTAATAAAGCACCCTTGAAAATAAGAGCCCACATCCCCAAGGTTAGCACAGAAGAATAAGCCCCATCTGCAAACACATCGGAACATCTCGATACTTGTCCTGCCCACCTGCAGACGCCAACATACACAACTCTAAAATCTCCCCTAAAGAGGCCAACCTGCAAGTTCCCCCAAGGTAATGCATAAGGAACACTGCAAAAATACTTAGAGACAAAAGCGTGTTTATAGCTGCCACCACTTGGAGCACCAGATAACAGGCAAACACACTCACCAGAAGTCCAGGGTGAGAAGGCTACGAACAGCCTTGACGGAGAGCAGATGGGATGCTTGGCGTCCCAAGACCCCAGATGCAGTCCCATGTCCCTCAGTCTTGTTTTTCCAAGCCTCGATGACCTGTCTGTCTTCATGTCCCTGGGCCTTCACTGTGGGTTCTCATCAGTGAATTTCTTATTTCCAATATCAACCTTTTCAATGCCAGAATTTCTGATTTTAAAATAATTTCTCTGGGCTGGGGATTTAGCTCAGTGGCATAAGCGCCTGCCTTGCAAGCAGGCAGTCGTGAGTTCGATCTCTGGTACCGATAAAAAGGAAAAAGACCAAAAAAAAAAAAAAAAATTTCTCTGTTGGTATCCCTCTTAGTGACAGCTGTGATGCTTTCCTTCAGCTCTTTTTTTTTTTTTTTTGCTTTCTTGAAGGTATTGGGGGTCCAGCCCAGGGCCTCCCAGGGTGCTGGTTCAGTGCTATCACTGACTACATCCACATCCCCTTCCTTTAGGGATTTCTGCATGCTGAAAGCCACAGAAGAGGAGTCTCAAAAGGAAAGAGAGGAAAACAGAAAGAGTCTCTGAGGAAGTCACAGCCCCAAACATCCCAATTCAATGAAGAAGCTCAAACCTCAGTGGGATAAAGTCAGGGCATCCAAACCAATTGCAAACAAAGGAAAGAGAGAAAAGTGACTCAGCAGGAATAGGTTCTCTTGAGAAACTAGAGGCCAGAGGCAGAGCAACTAGCACAAAGTACTGAAAGAAAAATCCTGTCAAGCAGGAATTCCTTACTTGGTAAAACTATCTTTCAAAAATGAAAGATTAAAAAATTCAGACCTTTTTTGATTGAGAAACACTAAAGCCAGGCAGGATGGCACATACCTGCTGAGGCAGGAGGACCTTCCCAAATATGAAGCCAGCCTGGGCTACTTAATGAGACCACCTCCCAGAAAAAGCCAAAAGACAAAAAGAGAAAAGTCATCACCAAAAGACCTACCCCACAAAACAAGTGGGAGGGAGTGCTCCATGCGCGTGCTACAGGCCAGGGCTTCTATTTCTGACCTCACAGGTATGTCTCGCCATACCACAACTCCTCAGACACCAGCTGTCCTCCAATTCAACTGAATTCTGAGGTGCTCGCCCACGAGTCAGTCAGCTTCCCGTGGTTTAAAGGCTCCACTCATAAGAGGGCCTCACTTCAGTCTCAGTCACAGTGCCACCCTGCCCGCCACCTGCACTCCTGGCCAAGCAGCCAGAAACCCGGGGTCCCACAACTTCTGACACGTTCAGCAACTGGCAAAGTGGCTCACAAAATTCCGGGGAACACTTGATTCACATTTAACAGCTCATGATAAAGGCGACAAAGGACAGAAATGAAAAGCTAAGTGCAGAGATACACAGATGAGGACCAGAGGGTCACAAGGACAGCAGCCTCCCGGACCAGGACACACTCACCAGCCCACTGCCCAGAGGGTCTCAAAGGGGGTAGGGCGGCACCCCACAGGCATGGTTGATGGAGCCCAACAGCACCCCACTCACACATCTGCTCCCCCAGTCACTTGGCCGGCCTCCTGGCAAGGATCCCCCCATTGTAATGTTATAGGGGCCCACCCACTTCATTCGCATAAACTCAGGTGTGCCTAAAAGAGGCCTAACAAGCTTCCTGCTTATCCACGGTGGGAGGATACCGTCCAGGACCCCAGGGGTGCCTGAAAGACGTCACTCCTAGCCCCACACATGCTATGATTTTACTATACATTCAAACCCCATTGTAAAAAGTTCAGTGCAGATAGCAGGCACAGTACAAGAGCAACAATAACTAAGATAAAACAGGACAGTGCTAACAACAGATTGACCCAAGTTATGTGACTGCCATCTAGATGCCTCTCAAAATATCTTGCTGCACTGGACCCTCCCTCTTCTGAGGGCATGAGACAGTATGAGAGCACTGCAGCAGGGTACCAGAGAGCCGCGTTGCGGCTCCACAGCAACAGAGCTGGAATGGAGGCTGCCACGTGACGAATAGCCAGGCAGCGCACCGAGGTGGGACGAGCCAGGAAGAAGAGTGAACACTACATACATTTTACCTATCACCCAGGATTCTACTCATGGGGACACACCCAAGGCAAAGAAAACGTCCACACCAGGAGCTGTCCTTGAACACTTGCCCAGTGGATAAACTAAATGAGACAGGAGCTCAGTAACCCTTGTTTCCAGGCACAGTGGTACATGACTATAATCCCAGCTACTCAGGAGGCTGCCGCAAGAAGACCGAAAGTTCTAGGTTAGCTGAGCAACTTTGCAAGATCCTGTCTCAAATTTCAGGATAAAAGATAATGTTCAAAAAAGGCAAAACAGCAACAATGGAAAGTACATTAACATAGGAAGAGTTTTCCTTTGGAAGGATAATGAAAATGTTCTAAAAACTGCTTTAATAATGGCTGCAAACTGACAGTCTTACCACTCATCTCAGTCATTACAAAAACCTAACCAGTCTTTCTGCATCCAATCTTATGCAACCACCACTTCCTACAATCCACACTCTGCATTCTAGAATGACTTTTCTGAAGTGAAAATAGTACCACGCTTCTTTTCTGTGTAACAGCCACAAACCCTGTTATCACCCACAGGAAAATACATGGCAGGAAGCTCTGTCGAGGATCTATCTGCAGCCTTGTCTGCTACTTACAACAGTCACAGCTGAGGCAAACTTCCCACTTCCCGAAGTGTGCCCCAAGCTCACCCCCACATGTCTCTGTCCAACTGTCCTTCAGCCTAAAGCTCCTGTCTTCAGTCTCTGCCTCAGTCATGCCCAGTACTTAAGCTTCAAGTATAATAAAACATATGATACCTAATACAGTGCCTGTCACAAACAGAGTTAAAAAACAGTTGAAACCGGGCCTGGTGGCACACTTCTGTAATCCCAGCACTCCGGAGGCTGAGGCAGGAGGATCGTTACAAGTTTGAGACTATCCTGAACTACAAAGTGAGTTCAAGGCCAGCCTGAACTGCGTATCGAGACCCTGAGCCACTTTAGGTCTCTCTTTTTTGTCCTGTCTCAGTGACTGCTACTTGCCTATAAGAAAAAGCTGACATTTCTCGGATGGTGTACAAACAAGACTATCCGGGAGCTGGAGATTTAGCTCAGCGGCATAAGCGCCTGCCTTGCAAGCAGGCAGTCGTGAGTTCAATCCCCGGTACCAATAATAAGGACAAAGACAAAAAAAAAAAAAAAAAAAAAAAAAAAAAAAGAATAAGACTATCCTCACCCATCATCTGGTCCGCCTACCTTCTCAGCTTGATGTCTCCCCACCATCTTACACTCTAACTAAATAATCTTGCAGATCCTACAATACAGTTTTGGATGCTTTCACCCACACTGTTCCTTCTGCCTAAATGCCAACCATTTCTACATCTGTCCAGTTGTTTTCCATTTATAGGTTGTCTTGACTACTGCCCTTCTCTATAACCTCATCTTTGCTTCCTACCTTCTTTGTACATCCTTGAACACCCCAGCCTGTCTCCCTTCAATCCTAAACACACACTGTACTTGTGGGCTGGGGTGTGCTCAGAGGCAGGGTTCTCCTAGCACAGCTGAGGTCCTGGGCTCCACCTGTGCACAGTTCAAGAACCAAAGCTGGACCACCTGAAGGCAGGTGGTCTCATCCACCTTGAAGTCCTTTCACCTGGGAAAGAACCTAAACAATTTATTTTTCCTTGTTCCTTCTTACATGCAGGGTTTTCTTCTGCAAAAGAACACATTTTCAGGTAATATCAGGGACCTAATCTGTCTTTACCAAGCAAACAACTTTGCAAATACACCTATAAAATAAAGTTAATATGCACTTTCTCATACCACATCTAAATTGGGGGGAAATAGTCCATCTCGATCTATAAGAAATACTATTTTGAAAAGATGACGAATTAAGTTCTTGCATGTAGTTGCTAGATACTTTTTCTAAAAAGTACTTATCTGTAGTTTCTGTTAAGCCTATCGCCTTGTACCTCGGGGCACCTTGAATGAAAAGTGGGAACTACCCTACTAAGTGTACTGCCAGTACAGCTCATTTTCAGGTACATGCCAAAAAGCGAATTATCAAAAAAATCACCTACACAATTCCAAAGAGACAAAATAAGGCTACATTTCTCGTTAGCAGTTTCATTTCTTCTCCTAGAAGTGCTGTCTCCCCGAACACCCAATCCCAAGTGGGGCTATTCCTTATCACCACTCAGATATTCTGGGAAACTGTCAAAAATGACGAAAGCACTGCAGCATTCAAACCCGGCTCTCAAACAAGCACTCTGGGAAAGCGTCTCCAGCCAACCCGATAAATCCCTTGAACTAAAATTTCCGCGATCTACAAGCTGCGAGGCCTCGGGGCAAACGCCGCGCACAAGGAGGGCCGCTCTGCAACGCTGAGCCAAAGAGCCTGAGCCAGCAGAGGAGCAGCGGCTCCGGAACGCCGAGGTACTGAAAAACCTGTTTCACAGGGGCAAACTGGAAAGAACGGAAGGACAGCGAGCTGACCTCAATTAAGGGCTGCGTGGCACAAGCACCTTTGGAAACGGCCTGGAAAGGGAATGCTGGACTCCAGGTCGGCCCGTGCACCCCGCTGGACCCAGACTCCGGCCCGCGCCCGTAGGCGCCCCGGCCCGTGCCCCAGCGCGTACAGCCTGGGCCCGAGATGCGGAAAGAGTGGGCTTCTCCCCTCTCCCGCCGTGGAGCTGCAGAGCCCCGCCTGGGCGCAGGTGGACGCAGGGTAGGCCCCCGCCAACCCCCGCCCCGCCAGGCCGCGGGAGGCTCGCTCTGGTGCTCCTGGGAGGCTGACACGCCCCCGCCCGGCCCTGGCTCGGCCTGACTCGATCCCCACTTCCAGCCAAGTCCGAGCCAGAACGCGCAGCACCCTGACAGACGGCAGGCTCTCCGACACTCAGGGAACCGCAGCCACCGCCACACGCCCGGCTGACCTGCGAGGTCGCTGCCGCGCGGCCGCACACCCTGCCGCCGCCCCGCTCAAGCCGCCGCCACTGCCTCCAGCGCTGTGCCCCCGGTGAGCCTCAAGAGCCCCATTCCCACCCCTCCCTGCCCCCGCCTGTTTACTGATTGGAAAAGAACGCGACGGTGTGGCCCGGGGCGCACGCGCAACCGCTTCTCCGGCTGCCGCCGACTTCCCGGGTCGCTTAGCTGTGATAAC